TAAAATTGTATAACAAAATAGTAGCACGGTAGAACAAAAAATTCATGTAAATATTCCTGAATGCTCAGAACATTCTGCAAATACGTACGTCTTCTGACAGGCACAGAATGTACATTAGAGTACACAAAGATAAGATGCAAACGTAACATTATTAATTACAACTTCGCATTTGCTGCACCACATGTTTAGTTCCTCATCTATAACACATACAGGCTCCAGATAAGTCATCAACAGTACCAGCCGAAAACTAATTCCGATTCCGGTTCAGGCCGTTATTATTGCCCAAAAGTACATCAGGGACCTTTAAACGGCACGCATGTTCCTTGTTTGTCTCCTTCATGGGCGAAGCCACATATTTCCGCTGGCTTATCACATGACTTCCGTTTAGAGCATTTGGCGCCGATAGTGGCACTGCATTCTGGCATGAAAAACTGCAGGGAAATAAATAACTTCTTCCCAAATAGAAGTTATAGATCAGCTTGAAAGCGCACTAAAGTAAATTTGCCCATCCAAAAGATTTTTGACTTATTAAAGATTAAAAGAAACGCTTGTGACCATAGCTTATCGTGAATAGTTTTGTTGCAGTGTGTCTAGTTTAGTTGCAGTGTGTCCAGTCACAGCTCCCAGAATACGTTCGTTTCATCGACCAGTGCTACCGCGATCCCAGCAATCTAGTTTTCGGGGAGTGGGATATACTGTCCCAAGCAGGCGTGCAACAAGGTGACCCTTTAGGCCCGTTATTATTTTGCCTGCTCATATTATCACTAATACTGTCTTTAATATCACCGTTCAACGCCTGGTATTTGGATGATGGTGTGATAGGTGGCAGTCTAGCCGTTGTATTGAACGATGTCAATACAATCATTGCTGTTGCAAAAGATTACGGCCTGCAGTTGAATCTCGAAAAATGTGAATTTTTTGTTTTTGGGGGAACATTTAAAGAACGCGAAATCGTACGAGAGACATTTAGCAAGTGTCACCCCAAATTTTTGCAGCCTGACGAAAGTGAACTGTCACTGCTCGGTGCTCCTCTTTTGCAGGCTGGAATCCCGGACGCAATTCTTAAGAAGACACAGGACCTGGAGAGACTTTCCTCGAAGCTAAGTATATTGCCTGCACACCAGGCCTACTTCCTTCTGCGAACCTGCATTTGTGTTCCCAGGATGAATTATTTACTTCGAGCATGCCCAACTTGGCTATGCGGTGATGAGCTGGACAAGTTTGACAGCGTTGCCAGATTAGCCTTAGAGTCGGTAGCAAACGTTCAGATTGACGGTGTCACTTGGGCCCAAGCATCGCTCCCCGTTTCATGTGGTGGTTTGGGAATCAGACGTGTGGCAGAACTAGCAACTCCAGCCTATTTGGCTTCGGTTTATGCCACATCGTCTCTGGTTTCCGACATCACCTCTGGATCGGAGAGTCGTGACTTGGTGCACCAGTTGTGGCAATCAGCATCGGGTGCTGAGCTACCACCAGAAAATCTTCGGCGATTACAAAAAGTGTGGGACGCCGCTTTAGTGAAGAAAACTTGCGAAGTTATCATGAACACGTTTGCGAATGACATAACCCACCGTGCGCGTTTGCTTGCAGTTGCTCAACCGGAATCGGGGAAATGGCTGAACGCTCTACCTACGCCTTCGCTTGGAACATTGATGTCGGATGAGAGCTTCCGTGTAGCGGTCGGATTACGGATCGGTGCGCCCCTCTGCAGTCCTCATCTGTGCACTGACTGTCGCTTACCCGTGGACAAATATGGTCATCATGGACTGTCAGGTAAAAAGAGCGCAGGCCGTTTCATACGGCATTCGGCCTTGAATGAAGTGATCCGAAGAAGCTTAGTCACCGCCAATATACCGGCTGTACTTGAACCGCGAGGGACCAGTGACGTCGATGAACGGCGGCCGGATGGTGTATCACAGCTGCCTTGGAGAAACGGACGACGGCTTGCTTGGGATGTCACATGCGTGGACTCGTTTGCCTTATCTAATGTCATCAGTAGCAGTACCAAAGCCGGAGAAGCAGCAAGGAAAGCGGAAGAAGAAAAGCGCCGGAAGTACGACTACCTAGCCAATGAGTACGACTTTGAACCTTTAGCTTTTGAGACTTCCGGTGTCACCGGCCCAGCCTGTCTGAAGTTCTTACGCGAACTGGGGAGGCGGTTAAAGGATGCTAGTGGAGAAGCACGCTCTTACGAGTTTTTGCTACAGCGTCTTAGCATTGAAATACAGAGAGAAAATGCGCTGTCGATAACCTCGACTGTTCCACGTTCGGACGGTCTTAATGCTGTTTATTTTGTTTTGTAATGTTTTGGAATGTGATGTTTATACTTCTTCCTGCTAACTAAATCAATAAAAGAATGTAGCATAGTTTTGTTTTGCTACATATTAGTAATTATTACCATTGGTTACTGCCGTTGGTTATCGGTCTAATGCAAGACACACCAGAGTAAATACCGCCAGCAATAAAAATGTCCAAGTAGGTAGAAACTTCATTATTTTTCGGTATCGAAACCTGGGATTTCGAAATCGCGTTAAAAAGTGATTATTAATACGAACCAGCTTAAAAAAAACGAGATACGGTTAAAAATGGCTTTCTCGTCGCTTAAGCATCGAAAGCTAAGCTATAGCTTGAATTTAAATGGATCTGCTCGCAAAATTTTATGGCGTTTAGAACATTCAGAGAAATGCGGAACCGGCAAATGCCGGCAGTTTCCTTACTTTCCTTGTTACTCAATAAATAACCTTTTCCGAGAACTGTTGTACGCACTTGCCCACCGGGCATCGTAAGAAACAGGTTATACACAGCATACAGAAATATTTCGAAAACATGTAAGACGTCCCAAATTTAAGCCTTGGCAAAAGAAATGGCAAAAAGATTGGGCAGCTAACCATATTTTTTCATTTTAAAAAGCATAAACTGATAGAAGGTGGTTGCCGAAGCTTAGCGAAACATCTGGAAGACGTATTAAGGCTATGAGCAGAAATAACAACATAAGCGTAGCAGTGTTGGTTTTTTAATCCATTAGCGGCGCGACATGGCGGCCTGTAGTATCGCCTTGAATAGTATACCGCTTCCGGCCTACCTCCTGGACATGATCCAAGTAAAAGATAGCACCACGCGCTACAACTTGCGGAAGCCGGCCCGGATCGATGTTACGCGGGCAAAGAAAGTTATCGGAGGGTGGACTATGGAAATGCGGCTAAAGCGTCTTCTTGATAAAATTCTTGCTGTTAATCCTAAAATTCTCGAAGCAAGTTCTGTACCTTCTTTCAAATTTCTACTCAGATCTGTTAAAATCTCCTAAATGTTTTTGTTAGCAGAAAATTGTTTTTGTTCGACCAGACTTGAAGTCCCTTCGGGGTTGTCTGCTCTTGTGCCGTAATAATAATAATAATTATCGAATTTGTGGCCCTGGGGTGCAAATAGTTCGAATGCCATGGCGGAGGGGGGCTTATTTCGGGGAGGGGGCGCAATTTCGGGGGGTGGCATTATTTTTTAAACGGTATTTTTTACCGGTATTATTGGCGGTATATGCAACTGCACAACCTTGGGAGGAACATTTTGGAGTGTATACCTCCTTATACAGCTGTTTGCCAACGAATACCGCATTATATTGATGTCCGTTAACTGTTTCTCATTAAATTACAACAACTTTTGCGGCTAAATTTTGCGGTATACCTTATCATTTTGCGGCGCTTGACATTTATTAACGGCCCCCTGGGGCGTAATTTCGGGGGGTGGTCTTATTTTTCAAACAGGGTCGGGGAGGGGGGCTTATTACGGGGGGGGGCTCTTATTGCGGGGGGCCCAAATCCGATAATTACGGTAACTGCGATTCCGGCTGCATTCCAACCAAAAACCGGCGTCGTTAGTACATCTCTTGTTTGCTTCTTTGATTACGTGTATATGAGTAAATCTGTAGATTCTTGTTACTTTGGTAGCCTCTAGTTCGTTCGCTGCTCTCTGTGTCCGGGCCTCGTGAAGTCTGTGCATGCGGTATGACAGTCGTTCCTGATTCCGGCTCCTTCAATGAAAAATTAACATCACTATGAAATGAGGTTTCCTTCCACCGTCTTCTGACAAATCCCTTGAATCCTTTCGTAAAGCTTCATAAGGCTTGAAATGGAAAGAACTTAAATGGTTTAAAAGGTTCTTACATTTGTGAACTCTCGTGGCCATTATAATTATCTTCTGCTCTTTCATGTATGGGTTGTCTGATACCACAGCTCAAAATATTGCTTGCTTTCTGCCTTTTTTTCAAATTTTGTTTTCTTTAGAACCCTCTTCTTACTGCTTTCCTAACCGTTCACGCAGCGATTAATAACAAATAAACTGCAATGAAATAGCCAATAAGTACTATACTGTAGTAGCACGATGAAAGTAGCGTAATTTCTACGTTACCTGTACAGATATGTACCGCAGGTACATTCTTTTACGTGTTACCTTTTGTTAATGACTGCTTCACCGTGCTTTCTATGACTGCGTAATATTCAGCTGTTCACTGCTTAAAAAGCGCACCGCCTTGTCGCACGAACTGCCACGAAGACAATAAATTCCTTATTATTATGTGCATTATTTATAGCAAGCGTTGTGAATGCTCAGCAGTACTGTGCACCTTCGATCCTTCCTGCACGCTGTCCTATTAATGCACCTTCGATCCATTACTATGACCTATTGTTCAGATTATCTAGAAACCCATGATAAAACGCTCTCAGCGGTTGTTTTTTCAAACCGGTTTGCATTTAATTGCTGCTGTGCAACGTTGCAACCGGTGAGCAGTGCCGCTAACCGTATAAGAAATACAAGTCCTTCTATCAAATCAGAGCAACCGCATTGTCTAAAAAGAAAAGAAACCGCTGATGCATCACTTAAGGTATCTGTATTTTATTATTTTGTGGTGCTGACGAAGCACTGTACGACAAAAGATAACTACCGGTTTAAACTGTGCCATAATATCAGCGCACGGCAAGTTGGAATATTAAACAGCTCATAAAGAAAACCATCTGATGGTTTTTTTCTGCACTGTAGAATACACTACCTGTACTATAGAATACACGCTGACAAGTGAGTGAAATTTCACTATACTACTGAAGCACGATAAGTGATTCGAAAATTTAGACAGTAAAAACGGATTTCTCGATATTAACCTGCGTAATTATACGGATACGAATAATTTTAATTCTGTGCTTTCACCCGCTCTTTTATATAAATAAAACCACACTATGTTATCAGATTTTCGCAGCACTGTTCACAAACGATTCGATTTTTATCGCTGTCTGTGATCATGACGACTGATGGCAGTGATAATGCGAGTCTACCATTGCGCCTCGTTCGACTGTACAAACCACGAAGCATGCCCGTTAATGAAAATTTACTGCCAGTCGACCGGAGTTTACTCTAGTTGTGGAGTAATTGCATTGATACCCGGATTTATCTTTACAAAAATGTGCTCGAAAAGGCTTGCAGTGATAATAACCACCTCGATTGCAGCGGTGTTTATTTTGTTTATTTTACGGCGACGTATTAGCCATCATCTTCCTTCCACAGTTGCTATTTACGACGCCGGAAACCCGGTTCCGGATATCACCAACGATGTAGTTCTCCCTGAAAGCCAACATTTTTTACCTGTACATATCGTCCGTTTCTATAAGGTGACACCCACCAAAGACACCCACAGCTTCTGTTGGTTGGAATGTATCAGTATCCTATCGATTCTCATGTACATTCGTCCGTCGAAGATTTACATCCACACCAATCATCCGGATTTTTGGCCGTTTGAACGATGTCATATGATTACGGATTATTCGCTAATGCAGTTTGTGTACACGCGCCGGAGACATATTCTGGGCGCCGGTAAACACATCAAGGCGGTGGCGCATGAGGCGGATTTCGTCAAGTACAGTATCGCGTACAAGTATGGCGGGATCGTCACGGATATTGATGTCTTCTATTTGCCAAAAATTATCCGTAAGTTCAGCGTAACTTCCTTGAAATGAACGCAGTTCATCTTAATCTCTGAATATTCAAGAGAGCTTTCGTTATCGTCGATAAAAAATCGTTGGACGCATTTTCGAAAAAATATGCTTATTCAAAGTCTGTTACGTAAAAAAATTAATAAGCATTCGTTTTCCTGGAAATGCAATTTAAAACTGACACTTCAGAAGAAATTTTCAAGTTTTAATCTTTTAAGTAAGCTCTACAAAATATATCAAGCATTTCCTAAAACTTCTGATTTTCATTGCAGCGCTGCTACAGCAATGGAAAGATGGAAAGTACGAATGCCTGCTAACCGGTGACAACAGGCATACGCTGTTAAACAGCGGCTTCATCACTTGTCGCAAAGGCCATCCGTACATCCGAGACATTCTGACGGTATACCGCGATGATTTCCGGGAGGATCCGCCAAATGGATGGCTATACAATAGCGGCAACGTGCCTCTGGCAGTATACAGCAACAACCCGGAGTACCAGAAGAATTTCTTTGTGGAGCGTCACATGGGCAACCACAGCAGCGGTCACCTGGGATTCGTCCCGTACCGGGATGTCCCCGCATGGCATTCGTATTACTATAGCTGTGAGGATAATGCCACGAACACGCTGAGACTGGCGGTGAATTCATCGTTTTATGAGATGGTACATTATATTGCTGCGGAGGGAATGAAAATGTTTCCTTATACGACACCACCATCAACAAGAACAACAATAAGAAGCAATCGTTTGGCTACACAATCCACAAAGAAACAGTAAATGTTTTCCCGTAGGATGCAGTATTAGCCATTAGACAAGCGAAAAGTGAGGTTAATCACACCGTTTTAATTTACGGTCTTGTGACTGCTAACACATTTTTGTCAATGGGACCTGTTAACAAGATGACTTTGGTGTCTGTGACAATTAGCGCAGTATTTTGAAATAACAGTAAATAAATTCCTGATAGTAAACTAAAAAACTGAGTAATCTGTTAAGCAGTTAAACGGTTATTATACTTGCTAATAGTTGTCGCAATGCTACGGCCCATTTTGTATAGAAAACACCATCTTAAGGATTAGAACCAGCCCACAGGAAACTGATAAGATCGATTATAAATATCGCACTTATTAAAAAAAATATTGTCAGTAAATGACGAAAAAGACCGCAATCTTAATCCTGGCCAGAAAAAGTGGTCTATCCGGAAGTATAAACTAAAGGCATAATATTTTAATGTAGCCTAGTTCTACTGAGTTGCAATGACCTTAATCAGTTGCACAATATTAATCGGCGTATCTCTTTAATAATTCCACGACAAGATGCTGCAGCCAAGAAGGAAATGTTCGGATTCGGTCCACAGTCAGCTGCATTGCGTTGACAGGGTACCCATCCCCAAAAGGCAGCATTCCGCCACAACTGAAAACCGCAAATAATAAATATGTTTAAGCACCGAATGTACAGTCTTAAAGACTTAGTGGAGGCGCCACATGCCCCTTTTGGGACATCATCACCACCTCATCAACACCTTAAAAACTAAAACGTGTGAAAAGCCCTGTATATCTAATATTATTCGTTAATAAAATGAATTCGTTACCTGAACAAATACAGAGAAAGTGTGCCACCGACAGGATCTTTAGACTGCAGTTTGCGTGCAGCGGAGTCCTCCTCTGCGGCACTCAACGCCGCCGGAAAAAATCGGTTAAAATATTCAAACGATTGAACCAGAGCTTTCGGAAGCATATCAAACGAATGATTCACCAGAGTATCGGTGTGAATAAACGGCCATACGTTCCCGGTTTTCACGATGACATCCTTGTCAATCTGCGCACTGAACGTAACCGGTAGTTCCCGCTCCATCAACGGCCCAGCGTGGAAATGGCAAAACATCTTCACATTCTCCAGCTTCACTTTAGTAATACCACGCGGCATAATGCCGGACAGGATATCCAACGACAGCTGCAGATTCTGCAGCGTCAACACCAATTTGCCGATATCTCCGTTCTTTAACACCTGCGGCACGTAGTCCTTCAGGATTTCCCGGAGATGGTCACCGATCTGCGGAAGATCATAGTAGAAATTGTAGTAGAAGGCCATGAGCGACACATCCGCCGGGTCCTCTATCATTTCCGGTGCGGGTGGCAGGGATCCCAACGGCCAGCGAACGATGAGTTGGCGGGTTCGCCCGGTGATGAAGCGTGCCAGTAGGGATTTCCGTTGGCCGGAGAACTGGTCCGGCATTGATGGGAAACCCGGATAGAAGTGTCGGCGGAAGATTATGGTATCTGCGGATGGAGGTCGTGGGACGTACGCGGCCCATTTCTGTACGTCGATGATGACGGCCTTCTGCAGAGCGGCGCTGCGGCTTGCTCGCTGCCACTGTTTGCAGACGCTAAAAAAATATAAGTACGTAGCAGATTTATCCACTGCTTCAATAAAATTCATAGTGAAATAAAAAAATGACGCTCACACGTCTGTTTTACAAACTAGCAGAAAAACAGGCGAATGTTTATAATTCTTACAAGTATTCCCAGCACATCACAGAAGGTAGTCTTTAGTCTTTACCATTACCTCTGGGTACAGAATATAATCTGAATGCAATCCAACATTATTGAAGTCAAACACTCCCAATATTAAAAATAAAATCTAATAATTACTTATATGCCCTGTCGGCTTTGTGCACAACTTTTGGAAACAGTGGAAAGGCGGCAAGGCAAAGGAGCGGGCTGCCGCTATGCATTCAAAGCTTGCCGCTGTAGAGATGCCGAAGCGGTTCACTTCGCGTGCATAAAACACAACTGTAGGCTCTGTAGCCAAAATTTGACATGGTGCGCCATATCGCAGCGCTAAACAGGAAAGTGAGGAAACAGCACCGAACGCATCTACCGTAGACTTAATAATTTTTAAACTAGTCAAAAACGAGAAAATTTAAAGAAATGTGCACTGGAACCAGGAACCCGACAAACTGTACGATATATGCTAAAAACCGTTACTGGTCGCCGGTCGGTTATACTAACCCCACGTAATACGGAATGACCACCAAACGAGTCAATCAAGACCAGCACTTACATGGAACTGTTCGTAATGTCGATAATGTCCAAGAAGGAGAAGACATGTGATACCATCTCATCAGGAAGGTCCTGGAAGGAACGCGCCATTGCCTTCCGACCGCCAGCCACTGTCTCTGTTGACAGTGCTTCCATTGTTAAATATTAACTGCCTCCTTTTGGCAGTTCAAAACGATAATCTGAGCAGAATCAATATCCTTTAGTTCTTGTAAGAATTACGATAAGTCAGCAATCAGTAAATTACTACAAGAACAGGTTACAAAAGTCACGAAACTGCCAAAATGATAGCTAATCTGGAAATAAAATTAAGCCATCTGCCATCCCATAAGAAAAACTGTAAAATGATGCGGGCTCAAGTCGGAGCACGCAAAAGCGTACGCACGGAATGTTACGTACGGAGTGCTACGCAATTAGTACGCACTACGGACGTTCCATAATTTTCGTGAAGGCAGGCTACCGGAAGGCTTCAGCGTTGTCATAAATGTTATCCGAGTTATCCTATCTTGCTTTACACGCTTATTTGAACAAGGAGAAAGCTATAAATGTTTTTTATTTTCAGTTTCAACATTTCATGACGGGCTAATTTTTATAATATTTGGCTGGTTAGTTAAGTACTAATTTTGTTCAGTTCTTTTCAGCTTCCGGCTTGAAGCATCCAAGCCTGTTTGAAAAAAATGAAGCCAATTTATATGTTAAATTAGGACGAGTACTGCACATTAACAACTCGAATGATGTTTGCTGGGGGCAAGCAGCAAAACAGTAATGGTGTCATTGCGCTTACTGCAGCACTGTGTTCGTATGCGGCTGCAGTATGGCAGTTTGACCAAGCGATACCGACCTGCACACATGCACAGACAACAGGAAGTATGCAGCTTCTAATAACTGGTGCAACTACCATTGAAGAGAAAGGTGTGCTACCCGAAGTACGAGTAATAATAACACCGGCGCTGCCGGTTAATGCCAGTTAATACACTGACGGATGCATGGTAACTGGTAAGTAATAGCATCATGGTACGTAAACAATAGTAGAAGTCAGAATATTTGCCATAAATTTCGGTATTATACGTATGTACTGCTTGGGTTGATTGCTTATATTTTACAGATGCGTGACGCTCGTAACTGAGAGCACTTCTTTCGAAAATCTACACATAGCCACTACAATACAACCGGTAGTTGTATAGTAGAGCGCGTGATTTCTGAAACTGCTCGTTAGGAAAGACCATTTTCAGAGTTTTCGCTGTATCTCAACTAGTATGATAACCCTTTAAGTCCTTTTTGGCTTTGGCTTCATTAATAATAACGTTCTATATTTAACCCAGCTGGCACGGAATCATCGTGTGTATTCAATGCTTAAACAACCATGCAGGATATTCACCATCGCCTTGATTGCCCTGGTTGCGTTGTACTTCGCCGTTTTCTTGACTGCAGTCTCTGACACACAGTTTATAAAAACATCATTCATTACGCCATTCAGAGATAATCAAAAAGAACCTCCTAACATCTCCCAAACTGCTTCTCGGCATCCCCTACCAAATATTGTGCAAGATATCGTGAGTTATGGCGACGGAGACAGATTTCCGGTACACATAGTTCGGTTTTATAGGCATCCACCCAATAATTCGCACAGTTTCTGCTGGACAGAATGTGTTAGCGTCCTGTCTATTTTGCTTTATGTGCAACCAAGCAAAATTTACATCCACACAAATTACCCCGAATTCTGGCCATTCGATGCTTGTAATATGATCAACAACTATTCACTGGTTAACTTTATTTCCACTCCGCTGCGGTTAGTAATTAATGGGAGACGGATTGCAGAAATCCAACATGAAGCGGATACTGCAAAGCAAAGTATACCGTGGCTTATAAATACGGTGGATTGGTCACTGATACTGACGTATTTTACCTTCCAAAGATACAAAGTAAGCACCGCACCGAAATCCAGTGATTAGTAATAATAAATTACAAGATTACTTTCTCTATATAAGAAAAAACTGAAAGCCCGATAAATCGAAATTACGCTTGACAAAATTAACAAAGCGAAAACCGGGCTTTGTATTTTCTACAGCGTTGTTGAATGACTGGAAAACAGGCAAATGGGAGTGCCTGCTATCGCGCGAAGACCAGTGGATGAACAGCGGATTTATCGCTTGCCGGAAAGGTCATACTTTCATTCAGGAAATATTGGCTCGCTATTGGAATGATTATCGCGATGAGTGGCTATATAACAGCGGTAAAGTGCCGTACGAGATCTACAACACCAATTTCGATCGGTATCGTCTGGCACTTTACGTGGACGGACAAATGGCCACGCACAACAGATTCTACAGTGGATCCATTCGATACAGAGAAATTCCGGCATGGCACTCGTTCTACCATAGTTGTGAGGATAATGCAACCAATACCGTCCAGTTAGCCGTTAACTCGACGTTCTGGGAGATGCTGCATTTCGTCCTGAGAGAAGGAGAGAAAGCCTTCCAGACTTCCGGTTCTACATGATATGTACCATTGTCGACAGCATCGATGGCCAATTGTGATTAATTATACACATCACTTCAAGACTGGAAATTACTCAGTTTAAAAATGATAAAAAGAATAGAAGCCTGCTGAATTGCTACAGACAGTCCTTACGGGTTAGTAAACGAGATGCAAAACGTGGCTAACGTTAATGTGTCTCGTGAACATTGTACTCTAAAGCTGTGCGCGGTTTACGTCATAATCAGGTCTACAATCAATGTTGACCATATAATATGTTAATTCAAAACGAAGAACAGCGCTCACACTTTATTGATAGCGTGTATAAACCTCCCCGCATTTCAGAGCGACCTAATAAACGTCAAAGCCTGGTTATTGTTATCCTGGACACAGGGAAAGGTCATACAGTATATGTAGCAGTAATACGGGTACAACCAAACTTATTTTTTTCACGATCCAGCGGAGTGTTTAAAATTATAAAGCACTTGTAGTGATCACTGCCACACCCATGGCGGCCCAGAGTATCTAGACAAATCCTGCGTTGAGGTATCCGTTTCGTTTTTGAGGGCGGTGATGTTTCTTTTCTTCGGAATTGGAAGATTGCGCTTTCACCCAATATGAGTACTCTTCATAGGAACAACGTACTTCCGGTAATATTAACTGTTGATGTTGAGTTTAGCAAGCGGCAGAACTTGCTCGAGTTTGGAGGCACAGGTCATACGGCACACGCGCGCAGCCATGCAGCGAGGCGGGGATCCGTTCAATTGGATGAGCTATTAGACGATAGACAAAGCCAGGGAAATAAATGTCAAATAATTATAATATATGCACCCGCAATTTACGCTGTCCAAGGATAGGCATATGATAGACAGCGGGCTGTTGATAAACAGCTTTATTATTTTGGGAAAAGGTTGAACTTCTTCTTTAGAATAGCGCATGATTGTGGCTTTGACAAAACCAGACACAGAAGGTACTTCTCAGAAAAGGCTACCGTGCCGGTCCTTAATCAAGATACTATTCTCACATTTACAAACATTTATAATACCGAATGCAGTGCACCGTGCACGCACACATGCTTTGCAGCTGCTCAGCCTTGATATACTCGTACGGAATCAAGTGGCACAGCAGACTGATTTTCCGGGCCCACAAAAGTTACCGCCTTAGCGGTATAATTAGCAAACGAAACCTAATTGCTTTGAGAGTACTTAACCCAATTGCCGAGTTCTCTGTTATTATTTTATCACATTGATACGATAAGCGACATTGTGTTGAGCGCTTACATTGATGTTGCGTGCCCGTTACTGAGTGATACAAATTAAATGTGCTTAGTAAGCACCTACCCATTATAACTGTGTTCAGTGCAGTAATTTGCACTGTTGTTTGTGCAAGCAAGCAATAATTATGCTGAATTGAATTCTGCAAATGATCGATTTTCAAGAGAGTGGAAATATTTAAAAAGGCTTGACACTGCTGGCTACGGCAAAGGCAGTACATTAAGAGAAGTTTTCGTTGTGAAATGGAAACTCAAGAAGCAATTGTTAAGTTTGGGAGTACCTGTCAGTATAGATACAAAAATACTCATTGCATTGGGAATGGCACTTTCGGTAACGTATACAGTGCAATTGTTACAAATCGCGGAAATTATTTTGGAGCAAGCCAAGTGGCCGTAAAAGTGATTCAGCTGAACAAAGCAGAACACTGGGACAATGAAGAGCGGAACAGAGGAATGTACGATAGGCTAAAATTACTGTTGGATCTTAAAAACGAAAACCTGGTCGAATATTTTAAAGTTACCATTACCACGCCTCATACAGGAAGGTTTTTCTCCGTTGCAATCATGATGGAGCTTTGTTCTGGTGAGTGATGTAACTTCAATTAGATATGAGGATTTAGGAAAAAACAGCTGTTCTTCAGATGGAGATCTTGGAACTAGGATGAGAGAGATTGCACTAGCTCGGAACCGTCTTGAATATTCAACCGTAAAGCATTACGCAAGAGATATTGCTGGCGGACTGAGTTATCTGCATAAAAAGAATATTATACACGGAGATCTGAAACCGGGAAACGTCCTTATACGGACCCTACAAAGCGGCTGTGAACGACTGCTTCTTTGTGACATGGACGATTTTGTGAAAATGCAGGAGAGAAGTACATGTTCTCGAGATGTGACACATATTAGAGGCACATACCGGTATATGTCACCCGAGATGCTACGCACTTTTGTTACGCCGGAAGCGAAGAGTGTTAAAAAGAACCCCCCTGGAAGAAAAACTGACGTATGGAGTCTGGGATGTATAATGCTGAAATTGTTATATCACGTAACTGGCCGTCATCACGAATATCTGTTTAAAGGAATGAAAGTTGTTGAGGCGGATGACAAAATTCGTGACAGTCGTTATATGTCCCTGGTCATAGAGGGCTATGCTCCTCTTATTCCTGTTTTGACGGAATCAAACCTAGTGACCATATGCATTGAACGCTGCCTTCAAACTAACAGTGAACATAGGATTTCATGTGATCAAGCTCAAGCTCTCTTATCTCAGGTCGGAAATATCCAGGAGGTTTTATTCTGCTGCACCGAAAGCTTTCCAGCGTCAAAGCTAACCGTTTTAGCTTGTCGGCTACAAGTTATTACGCACAGTTGTTTGATCCTTCTGCTAATACAATACGCGAGTTCCCGGTGCCAACGAATTTGACTGAAAATCCGTTGCAAGCATTTATAGCTCTAAACAGGAGCGCTGTGCTATGCCAAACAAGACCTATACGTAGGTCAGAAATGTTGGCAAGACGCTGATTTGTACGAAACCGTTGTGTGGAATTTGGCTGATCAAACATGCCATCCCATTCCTCATTTTTCACCAGACACCAGTCTTGATTACGATTACGCCATTACAATTAACAACAAGATTTATTCCCCGGATTATTTTATTACAAATAACCGACTTGTCGATACCTTCCGCCGTCGTTGCTGTGGATAAACCGAAGAGGTAAGCGAGCGGCTTTTAATAAAATAACCAATTCGTCTTCGATTTCATTACAAACCTAAGGCAGATATTAAAACAGCCGTTGCTTTATTACCATAAGATAGAAATGCTTGCGCTTTTGCCTGGGACCAGCGCATATATATATGTGGTGGCCTCATGGAAAATTTTTCGCCTTCAGCTTTGATGGAAAGCTATGATTTCAAACTAGGGATATGGATATTTCAACCGTTAATAAGATATATTTATTTACATAACTCGTGTTACGAGTACCAAAGTACGAGTATTCTTTTATAATTTCCGAATTCCAATTTTCCCGCTTAAGTGCGAGTACAGCGCTGTAGGTCAGTACATATATTGTGATCATGAGAAAGTAGCAAGAGTGTATGTGAGCTGTGGTTATGTACATACTGTAAAATGCAAATAATGTAACGTGCTATGTTAACTCATAAACTTTCTATACAAATTAACAACCACCAAACGTATGTGTATTCTCAAACATGTAAGCTGCTTCGTTTTAAATCGAATCGAGTTGCGCCAGAGCAGGCTGGCAGCGGGTCTTTTACAGCGCAAGAGTGCCATAAACGATACCAGTACGTATAATTATAGTGTGTTTTGTGGAGTACGAGTAGTTGTTCTAGAAATTCTGTTGATAATCCATTATACATAACCCGATTATTAACTGTATACTGACAATATGCGTGGGCTAATGCCTGCTGGCACAGTTTCATTACAGAAAACGATAAGCGGCATTTTGCTGATAAAATTACTAGTATCAACATACGGATGCCGGCTGGTCTTTACAGTCTGCATGGATAGAGATTGTCAGGTTGCTTCCTTTACAGCAGCTTGCACTGCATTTAATGCAAAATGCAAGACAACATTGATTTACGATTCTGAAGTCATGATCGTTTATCAAAATAATATATGTAGCAAGTTTGCATTACTTTTTTTATAGGGTTTCGGTTGTCACTTCAGCTAATCATTTCACACCAGCACAATCTTTTGTTTTAAAATGGACCCTGAGGAAACAGTGGTGGAGCTTGGAAAAACATGTCGGTACAAAACTGCACATTGTATTGGAAGGGGCTCTTTTGGGAATGTCTACAACGCGACGGTTACCGACCGCGGGGATTACATCGGAGAAAACAAAGTGGCAGTTAAGATTATTCAGCTAGACAAGGAAGAACACTGGGACGATAAAGAAATGTATAACCGAATGCATGGCAGGCTGAAATCACTGCTGGATCTTGATACTGAACACTTGGTAGGATATTTCAAAATTAAAATTATCACGCCACATACAGGAAGGCTTTTTTCCGTCGAGCTCGTGATGGAGTTTTGTTCTGGTGAGTAACCTATTTATTGTGATATTCGGATAGGGGAAAGAAATGAGCAGATTCATTCTTAGGTGGAGATCTTGGAAACAGAATGAAAAAGTTGCACCAAGCTGGAAACTGTCTTGCTTATTCAGTAGTAAAACATTACGCAAAAGATATTGCTGACGGACTAAGCTATCTGCATAAAAAAGCTATTATTCATGGAGATCTGAAACCGGGAAACGTTCTTATACGGACCCTACAAGGTGGCGATGAAAGACTAGTTCTTTGTGACATGGATGATTTAGTGCAAATGCAGGACCGAAGTACGTGTTCTCGAGATCTCACCCATCTTCGAGGCACTATACGGTATATGGCGCCCGAGTTGCTGCATACTTTTGTTTCGTTGAACGCTAATGGTGCTAAACAGAACAGCCCTGGAAGAAAAACGGACATATGGAGCTTGGGATGTATTATACTGAAGTTGTCGTATTTCATAAGCAACCGTCACGACGAATGTTTATACAAAGGAACGACAATAATCGTGGCGGATGACAACGAAATGAATGATAATCGGTATATGACCCTGGTCGCCGAGGGATACGCCCCACTTATACCTGTTCTGACACACCCGATTCTGGCCACGTGCATTGAACGTTGTCTTCGAATAGAGAGTGAAGACAGAATTTCCGCAGATCAAGTGCAGGCTCTGCTGTCTAAAATTGAAAACTTGCATTATAAAGAAATTGTGCTGTTGCTGCATCAAAAAACTGTCGGCAGAAACGTTGGTTACTCTAATACTACGTCGTATGTTAATTATCACCACGCACAAACATTTGACCCTTCCACTAATACGATAAGAATATTTCCGCTTCCGGCAAAGTTCGTAGAAAATCAGCAGCAGCTCAAATTTACAGCTTTTAATAGTTCCGCTATGCTATGCCAGGCGGAACGTATCGGGCGAAGTGGCAATTTGCAAAACGCTAGATTCTTCGAAACAGTCGTATGGGATGTTGCCGAGCAGACGTATCATCCTGTTCCTCATTTTTTACCGGACAGAAGGATTAACCATGCCGTTACAGTGAACAACAAGATTTACTTTACGGACAAAAATGATCATCTGCTGCATATAGCCGACCTACTGACACCTTCTACCATTATCAGTGTGGATGTACCAAAGAAGTAAGTAAGCAAATGTTACTACTGCATTCGAGCGAACCGTTTGCCCGTTTTCGGGAAGGAAATGATTTAGATTTATTTAGATTCAGATTTAAATCTATGCCATTAATACAATTGCTGGGCGCAAATTGCTGGGCGCGCGGAATGCAGTGGTGTGCTCTGCCTGACGTATTTTTTTTGGCAGGATGGTGTTCATTATTTGTGTGTACAGTAGCCCCACAGGAAACAATAATAACACAGAATAATAATATTAATGCAATAATAATAATGCAATATTAATACATACAATAATACAACACAAATTACTCGTACCGCTATCATATCATGCTCGTGCGCAAAAGAGCGTCCGTTGTAGTAAAACCATATGAATAGTCTAAAATTTATCGTCATCGATTTTCATATTGCAGAATATTTCGGATTCTAAACGGTGTGCAGCTGGCTGATAAAATCATTTATATTGGCATGCCTAGTAACGGAACAGTTGTAAACGCGATGTTTGTGGAATGTTTTGATACTGTGACCGGTGAATGGAGTTCCCTTCCCGTTTTACCTGGATCTCGAGTTCAGTTCGCCATGCTTGCCTTTAATAACGATATTTACATTTTTGGCGGTTGTTCGCCTCAAGGATCCGTGAAAACATGTTGGCGCTTGAGAATGTCAACTGAAACTTGGGAAACAATGGGACCGCTTTTAGAAGACAGGAGAGATGCTTGCGCTTTTGCCTTGGATCAGCGTATATATGTATGTGGTGGGCTCGTCGAATTCAAAACCCACGGAGCCTCGCTTTCATCATTGATTGAAAGCTACGACTTTGTACTGGGAGAATGGTTCTTTCAACCGATAACTTTTCTAGACAACCGGTTTGAAGATGACGTCTCATTTTACCAAAGTACAAGCATTCTGTTACAACTCCCGATTTAAGTTACGTAATTTGCCAATACAGTGGTACAAAGCATAACGCTTTGTACCACTGTACTGGCAATACAGAGGGGAGCAGTGTCATTTGCCGTGTCGTACCGCAAACTTGTAAAAGCGGCAGTCGGAGAGATAAACAGCTTGGCGGACCTTACCGTAATTTGAAGTCAGGATTAGTCCCATTCTGTCTTGGGCTATTTACATACATAGCTGAAAAGCTTGCAGGCACAATTTTTGAAAACCAGATTAAAAAGGAGTTCTTTAAGTACAAGAAATATATATATCATCGGTTGGGTTGGTGTCGTTGGTCCACTAACGACTTGACTCCGGTAAGAACTGGCTTACTATTACTACTGTTATTTACCAGCAAGTGATTGCTGAAAAGCACCGGAAATTTCACTAAGACGATAATTTGAAGCATAGCATTGTATACTGCGGATTATAACAATCCTAAAATGTGCTTGTGGATTTGTTCAAGCATACTGCTCAAGTATATGTTCAAACTCACAAATACCTCGTACAACAGCACAGTAAAACACCCATAACGCCACAGAAGCATTTCGTTCAAAATCTGAATAAATTATAAAGCTAATCGTAATAAATTATTAAACTACCAATCGTAGAAATTAAAAAGGCAAATCGCAATCAACAAAATTGAATTTACGGAAGACAAAGGGCGTTATTAAAAGGCGATGTGGTTGTATTGATGTTATGTACTGAATGTAAACGTCTGGTGCATTCCTTTCTCACATGTTAAATCCGACATGTTCATAGCAAGTGCAAGCGGTAATATCGTAAAATATTCCTTCTTAGGACTATCAACAGCAAACTCATCGGTGGATCCATGGCTCCAAAAAATGGCTTCATGGGCATCTTTAAATTGGTTCTGAACTGCAGTCCCCATTTAGACGGTCTCCGGTGGCGGTGACCCGGTTTGTTCTTCAACTCGGGCAAGAAGCTTGTGGTTATTATTGATACAGATGAGATCGTTGCTGACGGAAACACTTCGCTGGATGGCAAACTCTTCCACGACCATACCGGCAATTAGCGCGAGAATCATTCCCAGCATGACCAGATGTCCGGTAAGATCGGTCTGGAACACGTGGTGGACTGAACCCCACATGCCAAGCGAAGCCACGAAGGGCTGGGCGCTAGACGCGACCGCGAAGAACCATACAATAACCATTAGCAGCAGGTACACGAAAGAGGTTCGGCACATGCAATCACTAATCTCCCGATCTTCTCCGAAGAATATTAGATTTCTGTTGCCGCCAAACACTCGCACACATGCCACCACCGAGCCGACCCCCCATAACAGCTGCATCCCGTACAATGGGATCGTAAAGAATACGAAGGCCAGCGTTTGCATCACCGGAAAAATGTGAGCAGAAAACAGAAGTCCTGAAAATAAATCATATCCAGGTGTACATAGGTCTAAACCTGGACACTTATTACAAATAGCAAGAATTTTTGTTACAATAACAATAAATCGGAAAGTTAACCTTTGGTATGATTTCTCAGCAAAATTCTCGGCTCCACCATGCGTATCAGGTCGAAACGTTTGCATCCTTGTTCGATGTTATGTGATACAAAAACTTCCCTTTATACCGTATGTTATTAGCTGCTGTCTGCTGATACTTTCTGAATTGTTGTGCCATTAAAGGAAGTACTATGCTTCTTAATTCGATATACTGTACAAGCCACTCAGTTGAAGCCAGGCTACAAATTAGGCACATAAATTTACAGCCCGGCTTGGACCACCTGGGATACAGGTGCAGAATAAATCGATATTGCTCACACCCATTGGTGCTATCGATCGCTTGGAGAAAAATCGATTGCGGTATTTAGTTGACTCATAGATGACATCATTACCAACGCAAGGGCGTGAAATAAAGCTACGTTATATTTTATGCAAGAGCCGCCATCATAGTCGTGCAGAACACGGAGCAGACACGAAGAGTAATACCATAAGCCGGCTTATGTGCAAACGCCAGTGGAAATTGGATTAGCGCCAACCGATTATTCCCATCATTGGCACTTGCCTACTCCATACAAGTTAAATAACTGTTCTACATAGCTTCGAAGTAAATTACAGCGGTATTGCTCAACATATAATTAATGGTTATGAGAAAGTTAAGCACACAATTTTACTGAGTATCTTCAAATTTAAGCAGAAATTCGGGGAAATAATGTTATAGCGTCAGCTGTTCAGAAATTAATTGTACGGTTTTAGTGCAGAGACGAGTTTGAAGAACTTACCGAAAATAAAACAACGGCAGCAGATTAGAACCCTTCTTACCGTAGAAAAAATTGTAGAGATTTGCGGTGAATCCCACAACTGCCAAAAGGACATGCACAATGCTAAGTGCCAGCAGACTGCCGGCATCTTCAGGAAAATTCCGTGGATTCTGCATCGTACGGTCAGTTTGGTAGTCAAAAATGTTGCTGTGTTTTAGAGTAGCAGCTCCTTCTGGCGATATCAAATAGTGATATTGTACCAGAAATCGAACAGGGTGCCCAGAACGTCCAGGGGAATATTTTACGTAGACTGCACATGAAGCGCGCCACTGTACGCTGTAAAACTATGGGCTTTTGATCGACAGCCTTTAACATTAATAGTAAGGCGGTACTTGGAAAACCAGATGCAGTGCAACGTATTGATCTTGCCGCTTAACGTATTTTGTTGTATCTGGAGCAATGGTATGTACAGTACGGCAAACCAATCTAGACGTTTTGTATAGCGCTTGTAAAACGTCTAGAGTTAGTCAGGTACTCGTAGTGCCGTCGTGGACACATCGGCAACTTCCTTAGCAGTTGCTCCATCGTAGCGCTATAAGTACTTGTACCTGTGTCAGATACAGTAAAAGTACGCCGACCTTCGCTCGTAACGGATCGTTTAGAAAGATCGCGAGCCTTTATATAAGGTTGTATAAGCATCAGCAGATGTACTGCAATTTAGCAACTAGCTACAGATTAGTGCTGGTGCAGAAATTGCCCGATCACTGTATGTTATCCGGAACGACTCTATGGACAACCATAAGTTTCGCATATACCACACTGACTGGAAAGTGATCGTGAAAGACTGCAGAAAATACAAATTAACACAAGAATCCTCTAAAGCCTCTCATAAGCAGAAGAATCGAGCATATGTAAAACAAGTGTCGTACATAATACGCAACGATGCGCAGCAGTAATAATAATTACAACGATGCTTTCTGTGCATCGTTGTATAGTATAGTGGTATTATACAGTACGAGTACTAAACGTCTGTGTAATGTTTGCCTATTTAACTGTATCCCGCTAGCTCCACGCATTTTCCATGCTTTGTTGCCAAAAGCAAGCTAAGTGTCAATAATTTACTGTTCTGCGGCTTTTAGCAGCCATTAGCTCGCAATGATGCCCATAACGATCTTGTTTCTTGTAATTTTTTACCTGTCTATGTCAGTCATTCAAAATGTTGTTGGATGGCAATGATTAAAAATAAACGGGTGTCCAGACACCTGGGAAACTTTTTAATAAGCTATTAGTCATCCAATTTAGAGCAGCAAGTGCGGTCACATATCCACCATCAAAACCAAAACAAAAAATAAACTAATTTACAGTAATACATATTAAACAGACAGATGCCTATGAAAATTAGTTTAATTCAGTTCCCTATTGGTTACCAATTCGCTAATTTACGGTAAAGTGCCACTGTCGGCTATAACAAAACACAAAACATCAACACAATGGTGGTCACTGTCGATGGGACCATAACTATCAAAAATATCATCCAAAACCCTGCAGATTCAATACTAGGCTCTTATCCGGCATATAAATAGAAATATAATGGATGGCTTTCATCAGGTACGAACATAGCCAGAGAGTGTACGGCCAACTTAGTTAACGAGGAAACATCCACAGTCTTCCAGTCAACATCATCCCACAATTTCACAGATCCGTCCACCTCAAATCCATTGTACCTTGGATCAAAACAGCAGGATAAATATTTAGTTTTTCTTATTTTATATTATTTAAATGCGGATCAACTGGAGAAAATTAGTTAAATCTTATTAATCCAGCTCATACATTTTATGGCTGCACCGCAATGCAGTATTAAATAAATTTAAAAAAAGCAATAATCGTTTTTTTACAGTGTAAATGCTACAGTACTAAGTTCTTCGCTCCTGCGCATGTATTGTAGCGTACAGGTTAAGCCAGTGTCGAATTGTAGCTCCCTGTCCCAGATCCACCGGCGTATCCACCCAGCGTTGATAGGTGCGTCGAACCTTTTTGTACTCCTCCTTACCGACCGCTGGGCAGTGCTCTTCCGCCGCCATTAGCAATCTCCGCAGCATTCCCCCTCTAGAATCCGTTGAATGGAAAACCAACCGAGGAATCACAATAGTAAGCTGCTTTTCTTCCGTGAGCATAAAGAACCTCCGTTTCTCCTGCTCGTGGAGTGTCCCTTTATGCAAAATCCAGATCATACCAGTAGAAATATCCTTTATGGTGTAACTCTTTAGTAACAGTTTATGACAAGTGATGATCAGTTCAGAGACATCCTGACACTTCCATTCTGTGGGGAGATCCAAAAAAGACTCGCGGCTGTTAACGCCGATTATTCCCATTGGACTGGTTCCGTTTTGTATGATAATCAGATCGAGGAACACCTTCTTGGCCCTCAGTAAATCTTTCAGCACCGATGCAAACACACCATTGGGTTGAGCTGCGGTAGCCTGTCTGATAGTCAGACTTTTGGTGTTCATTGTCACAGCGTCATTGATACACCAGGCCAGCTTGTACACAGCGTCGTGCTCCAAGGGTATAGGGCGTGCCGGTACTGCAGCGTCGGCATCGATGATAACATATCTGGAAGTCGGTGATCGGGGTTGCGACAAAAGGAAATTCCATTGCGTGCAAACCCTGTCATCAAAAAAAGACATGTAGTTGTGTCAACTTGTGTGAATATTAGACAATTTTTGCCATACTTCACATCATTAGGTGGACATAAGTTTGAAAAGTTAGTCAAAACATACTTTTTGCATTCGGTTAGGGTATGCACATCCAGTTCCAAAAGGATTCCGTTCAGGACGGGATAATCCAACTTCCAAATCCTCCCATCTACAAGCAGCAGCTTTTTTGTTAGTTCCCAATTAATATATATAACTCAGTGTATCATAATGAACGGACTTAAGAGACACAGAAATAAGAAACCCATCAGATAAAACGAATCTGTTTTATATACAGCACCGCAAACTCGAAAAGGCAATGGCTTTCTTTTGGCTTACCTGCACTGCATGATATCTCTTCAACAGCGTTTTCCAGATGTGGGACCTTCTCAACGAAAGACTGTCCGACACGGCATTTCTGCCAGGCCTGCATCAAACACTTCTGATTCCATATGGCGGCGTACGTTGGACGTTCGGCATCGCGTTGAGCACACACAATGTTTAGTGAACCATTTCCGACTGATAAGTACATCCGATCGGCGATGTTCTTGTTGACGAGAGGTTCGGGACCCAGAAATTGTGTACCGGGCTTGAAAAGAGCGGCAGCATGATAGAAACACTGTTGAAGGGCTTTCACATCCAGAGCCTTGATGGAATGCGGCTCCTTAACCGGTACGACAAACTTGCGATAATGCAGTCTGGTGACATTTTTGCTGAACAGCGGAGGTCCCCGAAAAGCCGCCCGGGCGGCTAGCTGCCATTTGTGGACGGCAACGTACTGCGGCGCCGTTTCACCATCCAGTTTGACGTAAAGCACTCCAGAGAAAAAAGAAGCCACAAGAAGTTGTGCCGGACGAAAGACATGCGGTCCGTTTACTTCATTCCGTAGCGCCACCTGCACGGCCACGCCAGCTTTCTTATCAATTTGGTCCTGGAGCCGGAGGGTCATAACATCCTTTTCCAGCAGCGGGTGGGCCCAGATGTGACGGGCATGAATCCAGGCAGCGCTGACCGTTGTTGAATCGAAGTCAATGAACATTTGGTCGCCAGTATCGGCAATGTCTTGGATATATCCCAGCCACCACACACCTGGACTACGCTGCACTAACACCGTGTTCCCATGATTCAGCTCACGCTCGGTCCGTTTGGGCTCACGAAATAGATACACAGGCATACTTGTGTTCTCCATAGATTAAAGGACCAACTAAAAACAGAAAACTTAGCGGGTGGGATAATGCACTGCTGTATACTTTCTGCAGAATGGTGGAGTAAGTTTTCACCTGATTACTGAGTGTAGAATATTAAAACTAAAATTATCGACTCAGATGGTTGAAAATCGGTTTAGATAAAACTGCTCTTGAGTCCCAATCTGCGAGGCTAGTACTCGTTCTGCCATGCTTATTTGCTCAGTATTGTTACTAGCGGATGTTCCACAGAAGTCCTTCAATATAAATACCGCAAATCAAGGACTGAATTGTGTCAATGCATCCTTGTTTGATTTATGCATCATCGGTCACAATAGAGCATTCGAAAACAGTTCGGACGTATCCGTGTTTACAAAGTCATCATGTAAAACTGATGCTGCAGTACAGTAAGCAGAGTGAAAGGACAGTGACTTGATCAACCAAAGCCAACTACAACAAAACCTTCTGCTATAGAGTATGGAGTAGTCTGTACTCTGTAGACTTCCGACAACAAGAGGTTGTCGTAACTCTAACCAAAAGCATTCAAGGAATATGTACAGAGTGAAAGTGTTGATCGGCATGATAAGTAACAACAACACGGATAATAGTTTTTGACCGAAATGGTTACGCGCATGAGTACTCTCGCTCGTAGACCGGGCCTGAGTTGATTGTTCACCGAATAATACTGCATAAGTCGAAAAATACCCGGCGAGTAGAAGAAAACACCCACCGGAAAGGCTAACTAACCGGTTCTGCAATCAACTTCCTTAATTATTAACAACAACCGTTTTAGTAATTAATCTCAAATCCTAAAATTTATTACTAAGTCTTGTTATGCCAAGGGGTGCAACTTTTCAGCAGTTAAGCCGGAAAACTTTAAAAAATATCAACCGAAGATGATCAGATTCCTTTAGCTAAACAAAAGAATTGAACACGTTTTCGAAAAAAATGCAACTTCACGTAAGCAAGGAGAAAATTTTCTTTATTGCGGATTCTTCAGCATACTGAAATCAAGCAGTACGAAAGCCAGCAAGCATAATTCTAATATACTTAATGGGTTAAAAGTCATCACGGTTGTCATCATGCGGTGCACTTTCTACTGGAGCTGGCATTCCCAGCTTTTTAACATACGTATATGCCATGCGTTTCGAATGCATCTTGATCATGAAGCTAAAGGGTAGCTCCAACAGGAAGAACGCCGCCAGTGTATACCAGTGAACCTTAAAGAAAAACGGCTTATTCTCCGTCATTGAAGCACTCAGAAGCGGCTCGAATCCCGCGACCTCAAATGATTGCGTAAGGTTGTACTTTTGGTCGCGCCATTGGTTGGCGGCGACGAATACATCGCGCTGCCGTGTAATTTCGGCTTGTGTCGCGCTGCCC